CCGAAGGCACCTGGATTTTGGGTGAGTGTTTGGATGAAGGCGGAGAATGCCGACTGCACGTCGATAGTGAGGACCGGAGGGCTCACTTGGTTTTCGCTCCGGTCCTTCTTTTTGGCCTCGATGCCAAGGCGGGCATCAGGGGCATTCTGTTGGAGCTGAAGGCGCAGGACGGCAGTCGTCTGTTCCAACCCAGCGAGGGCGCCGTCCTCGGGAGCCCTGTCAGAGGCTTCGGGGGCGTCGACGTCGTCGAGGGCCAGGTTCCTGTCCTCATGAGTCTTGGATTGGGCACGGGTGTTTCTTCCCATTTTGATCGGTGTTTTTAGCTGAAGGGGAGGATTTCTTACTTGATTTATTCGACCTCTCAATGAAAGCACCAAATGATGGATAAGTGTACCCGGGGGGTAGCTTATCCGAGGGGTTACTGCGGGGAGTAACTAGAGAGAAGTCAGAGCAAATAAGTAAGAGAGATAAGGAGTTCGAATGTGGAATGTGTATTCAAGTTGTCTGTTACAAAGGGAAAAGGGGGAGCTATTTATAGTAGTAATAAATACTAGATAGGGACACGTGTCAGCATTCTGGTGGTCGAGGGGTCACCTCAACCGGGGTGGCACTGCCACTCGCATGTGGCCGCATTAAATGCGGTGGTTGGATGTGACGTTTGTATTTGGTACGGTGATCTAGGCGCATGTGGAGAGGATATTCTGCCGAGGTGGATGCCTTCGGCTGAAGGGTGCTGGGCCGAAGGCTCTTGTAACCGGGGGCTCCATTATGCCGAAGGCTTCTGATGCCGAAGGTGAATACTCATGCCGAAGACCCCCCTGTGGCCGAAGGCTCTGTTTAGCCGAAGGCTCTGTAAGCCAAGGCTCCTGATTTATGCCGTTTCCTCCTGGTAGCTTCGTATGCTCAAATGAAACTGTTCTGTGGAATTTGGAGCCCTCGGCCAAGGAGGCCGAAGGCACTTACACGTGTATTTGTGGGCTTCTTGATACTCAGGCCGCTACGTCTGGGCCTTGTGTGCTCATTGGGCTTGATGGGCCTGAGCAGGAGAAGCAGGAGTCTGTGGGCCGGGGGTTCCTGGGCCATATACTCCATCATATTGTTATATTAATACTACTAATATACTTAGTCATTTATATTAGTTTCCCATTAATATACTTATATATTATATACTATAAACATTATATTAGTTATACAATTATTATATATACTAATATAGTTATTATCTACTTATAAGTTATAAATACATATATTATATACTTAATATCTACTTAATACCTACTTATTATACAGTTGTTATTTACTTATATTTACTTATATTTACAGTATATTACATCTAATTAATATATTAAGTATATATAAATATTAAAGTATTAAATAAAAGTTTGCTACTCATATTATAGTAGTATACTTATATATTCTATACTATACACAATATATTATATATTAGTTACACTTTAATTAATATTAGTTAATTTCATCCTATTACTCCCATTAATTAGTATACACATTCATACATTTTTCCTATTACTTACTTATCCTAGTTACATTTTTCATTAAAGTAGTTCATTGCTTAATTGTTACATTTGTCATTAAAGTATTTATTAAATTAGTTAGAATTTTTAGTTCTTAAATTGTTACATCTAAGTATTTATTAAATTAGTAGTTCGAAAGTAGTTCTTAAATTGTTACTTAGTATTTATTAAGTATTTACAAAAAAGTAGTTCCAAAAAATTAGTTTAGTGAATTTTATTTTAAAAAAAAATAGTTCGAATTTTATTATATAGTTACACATTCATACATTTATTTAATATTAGTTAATTAGTTGTTAATTGTTAATTTACTGAATTTTATTTTTTAAAAAAAGTTCGATTTTTTTCATTAAAGATTATTTAAAGTAGTTAGATTTTTTCATTCACATTTCATTAACAAAAAGTAGTTATTGAAAAGCTAGTTTGAATTAAAAAAATAGTTAGTTGCATTACTATTGTACTAATATTAACATATTTGTTAGAATTTAATATTTGTTACATTTTTAAGATGGAACGTGGTAGAGTTTCTGTAGATATGGGTAACCTCAACCGCAATCGAAAGAAGAAGATTGCAAGGAATCATCCTAGTTCACACAAAGGTAAAGGCCGGGTCGGGTCTTCTTCTCAAACCCGAGATGATTTTGAAACGGATTACCAACGGAGAGATGCGGATTGCATGTCCGACGAGCAACTACAACAACTATTAGACCAACAACATGAGCGCTTTTTCCAACAACAAGACATCCCAACAACCATTGACGAAGAAGAGCTCGAGGATGAGGATGCGGAGGAGGGCGATCCGGCTACGGCCGAGGAGGGCGATCTGGAGACCCACGACGACGAGGAACCGCGTTCATCCCAACCCGGTAAGAAAAGTAAATCTGAAATTATGGGAAATAATTTTGTAAAGTGGAAAGACCTAGAAACCGAGAAATGGTATGCAACTTACAACCATTGCAAGAAAGATTTTAGCTTGGGAATTTCAGAAGGATACGGTAGCGCCGCAAGGCATCTAAAGGCCCGTCACCCCATGGAATATGTGAAAACAAGCAAAGGCAAGGGGAAGCAAATTCAAATATCAAGGTTTGCAAATAGCCAACTCTTTGGTAATTTCTCTTATGATGATTCCAAACATTTGAGTGGTATGTCTAATTTAATTGTTGAAGAAAATTTGCCCTTATTTTTTCTGAAAGTCTTGCTTTAAAAGAATATGTTCAAGGTACTTTAAATCCTCAATTTCGAAATCATAGTCGCAAAACGATTAAAAAAGAAGTTATAAGGCTTTATGATTTGGAAAAGACAAGATTACAATTTTTTTCGCAATCTTTGATGGGCCTGTTAGTATTTGTAGTGATGTATGAGAGGATACTTATCATAATTTGTATTATTTGGGTGTGACTGCACATTATATTGATGATGATTGGGAAATGCATAAATGTGTTCTTGTTTTTCGTGAATTTAATGATAGGCACACCGCTGATAATATTTATATTCTCATTGAGCGTATTTTGATTGCGTATAATTTGACTGATAAGGTGTTTGATGTTGGTTTTGATAATGCTAGTAATAATATTGTTGCTATACATAGATTGCATGAATTGTGTGGTTCTTCTACTTTGATGGGTAGTTTTTTCATCAACGATGTGCATGTCATATTCCCAATTTATGTGTGAAAGACGGGCTAACCGCGTTAGGAAATGCTTTGGAGATAGTGAAGGGGGGAATTAGATTAATTTGGGCTAGTGGTCAACTTAAATTACAATGACAAAATTATTTGAGAGAAAGACGTGTGAAATATTGTGCTTTTCCTAAAGATTTGTCTATTTGCTTGAATAGTACTTATAAATTAATTAAAGTACTTGTTAGATTTAAAGACCATTTTCCTGCTTTTTTAAAAAAAATATGCTAACTACATTATAAACCCGGCTGACATCGACACTTGCGAAAAAATTGTGAATGTTTTGATATTTTTTAACAATGCAACTGAAATTTTTAGTCATGTTTATACACCTATCTCAAACCAATTTTTTCGTGAAACTGTTAATCTCGTTATAAACTTAGTGCTTTGCAACAATGTTTAGATTACTATTATGTTTCTTTTTTTTGGTCCATTGCCTATGTACGATGATAAGGCCATAGATCCTAAACAAGAATACCAAGAAGTTAGTAATTTATTTTATCAGTTATATAATGAGTTTCATGCACAATATGACAACGCACCCCCTCCCCTTACACAAACATCTTCATCTAAAAGAAAATCATTTTTTAAATCAACATTTGGCAATCTTATGAAAAAAAGTAAATCAACTCCCATTGTTGAATAAAGCTCACTTAACGAGCTTTCTTTGTATCTAACATTTCTTGTTGACATTGAAGAAGATGATGATGACTTTGACGTTTTAAAGTGGTAGAAGGATAAAGAAAGAACGTTCTCGGTTTTAGCAAAGATTGCTAAACAAGTGCTATCAATGTCGGTTTCAACAGTTGCCGGAGAAAAAGAATTTAGTGCGGCCGACAACGTTCTAACGGATTATAGAACGAGATTGAGCGCAAACTCTCTTGAGACGCTTGTTTGCTACCATAATTGGTTGAAGGCCCAACGTAGAACTCAAAAACTTAGCATCACCCCCACCCAACACTTTATGGAAGAAACAACAACCGACGGTGGCGGAGATTCCGATTGATTATTTGATTATTCTTTATCACTTTATTACCCAACACTTTACACTTCATGTTTTAATTTTTTACCTAATTCTCAATTGTAGACTTGTAGTTCATATATCAAATAAATATACGTTCGCTTTTTTGTATGTAGCACTTCTTGATTTAATTTCTTAAACTAAAAAAAAAAAACAGACCCGACCCGGCCCGAACCGGTACCGCCGGACACCCGGACCGGTCCTGGGCTTCCTACCCAACAACGAAAGCCCGGCCGGGCCAGGCCCGGAACCGGAACCGGACCGGGCCCGGTCCATCACTAGTTCTTCCACTGGGTCTTGCAGTACCCGCCCCGCCCCGACCCATTGCCATGCCTAGTATATTCTAAAGAATTGCCACGTATTTTTTAAGAATAATGTTAGATCAGTCGTGATACCGTATGACGGGTATACGGTGAGCACCGTACCGTCATACGGTTGGGTATTTTTTTTATTTCTCTTATTTTAAAAATGGTAATAACTTTTTAATTTTTGGTCCGATTTTTATAAAATTTATATTAACATTTTTTATTTTTCATGATCTTTCAAATGAGACCAATATTGCCTATGAAATTTTAACATATTATCGAACTATTATATTAACCTATGTAAAATATGTAACTTTATGTGTAGAAATATGTAACTCACGTCCAGTCAGACCAAATGTAACTCGTGTGTATAATTATGTAACTCTACGTGTAAAAATATGTAACTTTACGTAAAAAAATATGTAACTCGCGTTCAGACAGGTCAAATGTAACTCGTGTGTATAAATATGTAACTCACGTGTATAAATATGTAACTTGCTTATAAAAAGATGTAATTCGCTTATAAAAAGATGTAATTCAATGTATTATCAAATGTAACAGAGGCCACTGATCCACTCCCAAACAGATTCGATCTTCTATTTCACAAACCTATCATCTCCCTGCAATTCATATGCAACTCGTGTGTATATATATGTAACTTGCGTGTAGCAATATGTAACTTTACGTGTAAAAATATGTAGCTTTACGTATAAAAATATGTAACTCACATGTATAAATACATAATACAATAAATTTTTTATATACACAATTTTAAGATAAATTGTGATTTACACAATTATTTTTCTAAATTAAATTTAGTTCGATTTTCCTTATAATTCAATACTCATTAATATAATAGTTTGATAAGTTCTTAAAATTACATAAGCAATATTGGTCTCATTTGAAAGATCATGAAAAATAAAAAAAGTTGATATAAATTTTATAAAAATCGGATCAAAAATGAAAAAGTTATTATCATTTTTTAACAACAAAAGTAAAAAAAAAAAAACAAGGCACCCCTACGTCGTTTTGCAACCGGGCGCACCATGCTCATGGTGTGCCGGTTGCAGGATATAATTTGCCATGTTAAATGCGTAGTTAAGTACGGACTATAAGGAAATCTGAGGGTGAATTTGCTTTTTAAATTAAACATTAGGATTTAACTTACGGTAGCTTTCAAGCCCGTGCGATGCACGGGCAATATGTAATTTAGCTAATTTGAAATTTAATTTCTATTGGAACACATATAATGTGATTTAAAAGAAAAATAAACTTAGTCTAACATAGAGTCTGTTTGATAATACTAAAGTAAATAGAATTAACTTATTTTGATGAAATTGATTGAATTCTGGTTAAATAGGTGGAATCTTCTGAATCATGAAAAATATATGTGAAATATATTCCATTTGTGAAACAAAGAAAAAAATATATGAAAAAAAAGTTAAATCGGTCTTCTACATAAGCATCTCAAGTAAACATAATTGTTATGAACCCAATAATAAAAAAAATTCTATATTTCTTAATTGTTAGATCTTACAGTTTACTCATTAATAAGAACGTTTTTAATTGAATTAAAATTTCGGGTTTGATTTGGTATGAATTAATATGGTCTATTAGATGTCTGTTTTTTATGTGACTTATTGTTATAATTATTAAAGTTTGATCTGATCTGATTTAATCTGGAACTGAAATCAATCCAATTTAAAACATTCTATTAAAATAAAAGTAGGAATTCGTAAACCTATAAAGATTTTCTAATTTGGATTAGGAATCTATTTCAAAAGTGAAGGCATATTTGAATTTTAGGTGTAAAATAAAGAAACAAGCAAAAAATTTTACTTATTTGGCTAAGCTAAACATATTTACTTGTGAAAATATATATACTTTATGTTGATTATAATTTTTAATTTCATTTTTAATTATTTACTTATTTGAAGCTTACTAATTTATTAATAGGTGTCAAATTAATAAGTAAACTAATTTGCATATTTGTTTCTATTTAATTTGGTGTAGTAAACTAATATAAATTAGTTTCCATATCAATAAACGTTATTAGAATTTCACTTTGTTAACCAAAAATTATTTTACTTATTTGAAGCTTACCAAATTAATTAAGATGGATTTATAAGGATTTTTGTTTCCACATCAATATGCAATCAAAAATAGAATCTAATAAAAACAAAAGGTATAAAAATAAGTAAATAATTGTTATATATAATGACATGACAGGATTATGTGGCGCTTTGTATGCTCTTAAAAAGTTCCTCTTATATATATATATATATATATATATATATATATATATATATATATATATATATATATATATTTTGATTAGTGGCGCAAGTATTGCGTGAGCTACATGCTACTGAAAGAGACCAAATCTGTCCGATGATGGGAAAAAAGGGTGTGCATAGTAAGTTGGAAGTTGCGCGGAGGAGGTCTGTTATAGGAAAAATGCACATGAATAATCCCAATTAGAAGTGATCCGCTTGAAATAATTCAAAGTATCAATAATTTCAAAATAATCCAAACTATTGAAAAATAATTTCAAAACACTTCAGGGACAATAATGCATTTAAGTGTTACTTATTGTCCCTAGAGTATTTTGAGATTTTTTTTAATAGTTGGGATTCTTTTGAGATAATTGATACTTTGAATTTTTTTCAAGCGTATTACTAATATTTGTGATTATTCTTGTCCATTTTTTCATTTTTATAAAATATATCTGTTGATGTGATCGTCGAAATAAGTAAAATTGAAGATATTGTTGTGACTTGTGATTGATTTGAAAAAAATGAGAAATGTGATTACTTTAACTATTTTCTCATATAATTCCTTTCATGATTCAAGAGATTCAACCAATTCAATCGATCCAGTCGTATTTCACAACAATTCAACCCATTTTAAGTGTTATCAAATAGGCTCTATTTTGTTTCTAAAAGCAATTCATTTAATTAGTAATTCGAATATACGTACTTATTTTATAAATATTAAAACATGATATAATAAAACCTGTACTAGCAATATGTATATGGTAATTGTTAGAGATATAATGCTTCCGGCTTAAGCTTTTTGTAAAAAAAATGACGCGATTATTTAGATAATAATTAAATAAGATTATATGAGTATATTTTGAAATGTCGTTTTTATGATAAAAAGTGTGATGAGGTATTGATAATAATTATGATGTTGTACGTGTATTACTTTTTATATTTCATGGTTAATTTTTCATTTAAGAGCGCTAATTATTTTCGAAAATAGAAATTAGAAGCTTTAGCTGAGATGTCTAAAAAGGCTAGTGAAAAATTTAAACCGAGACAAATGAAGTGTTAATTATATATACACTCCTTCCGTCCCACAATAATTTTATACTACGTATTATTTAGTGATAATTATGATGTCTATTAAAATGACTATTCTATGCATTTTTTACTATCGTATTTGATTATGCTTTATAATTTATGTGATTGTCACATCGGGAGGTTAAAATATATACTTTATAATAGGGTGGTTCAAATAAAAGGGTGTCAAATGTGAAAAGTGTCAAATTTTCACTTTTAATTCACTGCACTTTTAGGTTTACTATTGTACCTTTTTAAGGGTGGCAAAAATAACCAATTATTTACGAAAAATGTTACTGTGTTACGTTTTAAAGCTAATCTTTTACATTTTTGGCACTTTTAGAATAATCTGAAATCAGAGCACAAAAATCATTCTCATTTTACACATTTAGACTTTTTTTATTTGATCTAATATCTCTCGCTTCATCCATATCACCATATGCACTATAAAGATTACGACTAAAAGGACAAATATAAGTAGAAATGAAGAAGTTAATTTTTTTTTCTGGAAAATAAAGAATTTATATATTACTTACACTAATTTCCATAATCAAAATAATAATATTACTCTTACTTACAAAAGTATTCTTAATAATTGCCCTATAAAATGTTTGCAGAAAAAGCGCTATAATAAAAAGGATACCTCTAACATCATCTTTTTTATAAATACTGTTAAAATATGAAGAACTCTACATTTTTTATACTTTAAAATTGGAAGATTTCGTTCTTCTAACTTTATGTTGTTACGTCTCTTAATTAATTAATTAATTCTTCATTTTTAAGTTTCCAATGTTTTTTAATTTTTTATTTATATTTATTGTATTTATTCGCAAATATCTAATATTTACTTATAGCTTACAAACATTAATTATATTTGTAATTAATCCTTAATTATTATTAATTATAGAGTAATTAAGTGAGGGTTCTTTAATTGGGACAATAAAAAATCACTTCTTTTGACTCCAAATAGATTTCTATTTGGGTTTGGATTTAAACCATACTCTCATTATTTATTTGGGTTTGGATTTAAACCATACTCTCATTATCTATTTAGGTTTGGATTTAAACCATACTCTCATTTATTGTCACTGCTATTTTTTTATCGAATCTACCCAAATGGAATCAATCAAATCTCAATTAAATATCAATTGGAGATATGCACCTGAACTTTTTTAATACATATTTAATGTGAGATTCATGTATTGGTTTATTTTAAATATGTAGTATATGATTTTGGTAAAGTTATCATTATGTTTAGTAATAGGGTGTCGTCAACTATGACTTTGATTTAAACCTATACATATAGTCAACAAGTTTATATATCTAACACAATATGATAATCAAGTCACAAAGTCAAAATTTTTAATAATGTGTTAATAATGAGACGCTTACATATATAAACCCAAAAATGAGTTCAAATTTTCAACCATGCAGGCAGGCAGGCATTAAATGACATTATTTTCAAAAATGAGTTGAGCGATTGAGGAAACGGCCTCGTCTTGCAATCGCCTTTGAATCACTTCAGAAGTCTCTTCACTCCATGACCTTTTTAGCTCCCACCACCTACCATAGCCGCGATAACTCTTGGCGGAGCTACTAATAACCATTTCCTCTAATATGATTGCACTTTTAAGTATGTACAACAAAAATTTCATCTCATTTTCAGTCCCATCAAAACCACATATATTCACCTTCTTCAAGTTCAAGTGATAATAACGATGAGGTAGTTTGTCCATGATGGGCTCTCTCTCTTTTACCTCCCCATAATCATAAGTGGGATCATATACCTTCAAAGTGACACCAAAATTGATAAAAGTAAAAATTAAAGGAGATCATTTAAATCATTGGACATTTAGAAAGATTTATAGACTTTTTGAATATAATTAAACTCTCTTGATTTATAAATCTTTTGATTTCATATGAATGATATTTATTAATTTTATGAAAAACCACTCAAACAAAGAACCATTTAGTGCACACTTATTATAGCATTATTTTCAAGCTCAAACTACTAATGCAAATACATTAAATATTAACCACCAAAATACTTGGATATACTTACATTCAAGTGAAACTCTTGTAGTAGGGGACAACTTTGCAAAAATGGAGGAAGTGCTAGTAGATCTGTCTTAGGCATGCAATTGACATTCAACTCTAGTCGCCCAAGTTTGCTGAATTTTTCAATACCTCCCATCCTCATTAGTCTCTGGCTCTCCTAAGAATGTGAAAAAGTCACAGTATAAAATGTTATATATGTGTGGAAGTGTTTGTGTACATCAATAATCAATAAATATAAATATATATAAAAATCATACAATGAAGAAATAAATTTTCAGGATATATATACTTATCCTTCTTACCTGATAAAAATCACCTTTACAATCAAATGTTAATGATTTAAGGCTTGACACATCTTTAGCAAGTCTCCCAAACACATGAGCCATAATGTTCTCACTTTCAATGGAAAGATATAAAGACTGCAACAAAGGGGTGTGACCAAATCTAATATAAATCATTTTGTTGCCTTGGAACTCAAGTGTCTGAAGATTAGTAGCGTATATTTCAATCTCCTCTGCACCTCGGCAATATTCAACTACAAGACTCTTCAACTCGAGATCCGTGTCGGCCCAACCAATACATAGTTTAGATGGTGTTTCACATTGACCTATGTACAATGAGCGGAGCCTCAAACAAGTAGATAAAACGAACTCCAACGATCCAGGAAGTACCGTGACGCCTCTTAGTTCCATGGTTTGAAGTGCGTGTCGTAAGACTCGGGGTTCCATCCCAAATTTTTCACGTAAGTTCGCGTGTAGAAGACAAGAACCCAATACTAGAAAAGTGACAGATGGTATTATAGAAATATACTCACAACTCAAAGCAAAATCCGAAGGCACATTGCAGGATAACCATAGGTGAAGCTCTTCAATGCCTAAATTCCCTAAAGAGTATATGAGTTGCTCAAACTGATGTGCACTTCGTTTTGGTATGCAACACCTCAAACTCACAAAACGTATTCTGGACCCATAATGAAAATTTCTGAAGTATCTTTGCAACTTATAAACCGTTGTTTGTGACGAAGCGTAATCCCGCAAGAGATCATCACAAGATAGAGATACATTGGACACATATTTGTAAAGATTCTTCCACCTCTTTGACAAAATACTTGTCCTTATAGCAATATATGTAGGTGTACGAGAAAGAATTGAAGCAAGGATATCGTCTGGAAGCTCACTTATAAAGTCCTCACTATGTGCACCCTATTCATAAACATTTTATTAGAATAATAATGAAGTTAGGATGTTTTTACTTGGACTGTAATTCGTCCCAGACCAGACCAGACCAGACTTTGATAGTTATAAAAATACAAAGAAACCAGACCAGACCAGACCAGAAAATTACAGTCCAAGTAAAAACATTATCGAGAGATTGCAAATTTAAAATTGAGACAAAGAAAAAAGGTATGTGCATGCATACGCTATGAAGAGAGTTTGACATTGAAACTCTAACTGGCAAAAATTGATCGTCTAAAAAAGGAACCCTGTAATAAATTAACAAAGCTTGTTAGGAGTTAGATAGATCTATATACAACATAACACAAAATGAAAGATGAAAACCAGACAGAAAATTTAAACCGATTGATTGAACAAATCAACTGACCTTAGCTTATAGTTTTATGGTTGAAATACAATTACGTACCTTTCGAGAGAGAAAAAGAAACACAATTATGTACAAACTAAATATTTAGTCTCATCTTATAACCAAAAACTAAATTCATGTTTTTATGTGATATTATAGAATTTAAATTACATCTTATAAGAATTGCATAGTGAAAAGAATCACATTTCAAAATATTTACATTTTTTGGGTTTTGTTTCGAAAACAAAACAAATTAAATAAAGATATGACGTTCTAAAACAAAGAGTTATTATACCAATTTATGACAATGATGAAGGGTTCTATACCCATTTTTACTACTCTCTACTCTATAAGATATACTATCTCTTTTATTATCCAAAAAGTATAAATGATATTCTAAGTAAACCATCTCACTAACTTTCTTTCCCACTTCATCTATTTATCTATCATTTTTTTTTTAACTTTTGTGAGCGAAAGCTGATTTTTCTTATTTTTTTCTATCAGATGTTCGATTTGTAAAATAACAATTATCTTTTTTATTTTTTCTTAAAAATTGAATCAAACTTAAATGGCTTGTATTGCGGGATGGAAGTACATACTACATCCGTCCCAATTTATTTTGCAAAGTCCACATTTTTTGGTTAACCAATGTTAAAGTGAAATCCTCCCTATTGATAAATGATTCAATTTTAATAATTAAAACTTATGGTTCTAGAATGTTATATATGATTCTAGTGTAGGACTAGAAAAAAATATGATTTTCATTTTCCCCAAAAATAAACCAAAATTATGGAGTAGTAAGGATCATTCAAAGTTGATCGAGAAATTAAACACTTATTATGTGTTTCTACATATTATGTACTAATTCAGTCTTGTGTGTTTATTTCTATCATGTCGTCATGTGTGAATCATTCATGCATTAAAATTTTCTGTCCAGGTTTAAAACATCCCATATTGGCACCGTTTAAGATTAATGGTAGAACAGAAATGGACGAGAAACACATAATTATATATTGTGGTGGTTAGGAAGTACGAAATGATCCGCATTTATTAGGGTGGATTTATAACCTCATTAATTATCGATTCCCAATAGGAACTTCAATTAAAATACTCTTGGTTAATATTCCTAGCTATATTATATCCACCACAACCTCGGATCCTTTAAATTATTAGTATACTGTTATTTTTATACAGTGTTATTTATTTCCTGTATTCTTTAATAGTTGCAACATTAAATTTTTCACACTATATAATTAAATTATTATGTATAAATGTAATTAATAAGTTCTACTAATGTCAATTTTCAAAATGTTAACTTTTTGGAATGTTTTCTAATGTGTAATCAAAGTTATGCGATAGGAACATGTAAGTTAAACGGTTATAAATTCTAAAAAAGGAAGATACTTCATCCCTTAAAACTGTGTCATCTTTCCTTTTTGGGACGTGCCAAAAAACTTTGTCACTTTCCTTTTTAATCAATTATTTTGTGATTTTTGTAATTTCTCTCTACTCTGCACAAATATCAACCACACAGTTTTTACTTTATTATTATCCGTGCCGGTCAACTTTGGCAAAGTTTTAAGGGACGGAAGGTAGTAGTAAATAGTGAATTATTTTAAGAGTTAATTATCAAAATAGGACTAAAAATCATTCACTTTTCACAAATAGGACCAAAAAATAAACTATGTTTGCATAGGACTAATTATGTGTACCTTGGACAATTATACCCTTATAGCTATTAAAATGTTTTAATTCCTAATAAAATAATAAAAAATAATAATAATTCGTAAAAAATACTAAAAAAATTAAGAAAAACAATTCGATACTAAAAATTTAATTATTTTTTTTTTCAAAAAATCAAAAAAATTAAAAAAAAAATAAAAAAAAATAAAAACTAAAAAAAAAAATCGTCGCCGCCTCTGCTGCCTCAGCACCACCACCTCCAGTCACCAGGGGAAAAAATGTCAAGTTCATTACGAATGCCATATTTATGGCAGAAAAAAATGAAAATGTTGGCATTCGAAAAGAGAAATATGCCACTTTTTTGGCATTTTCAGAAAAAAATGGCATTTTTCTGGGAAAATGGCATTTTGTTCATCGGCCGGAGGTGGTGGTGCTGGGAGGTAGTACAGGCGGTGGGAAAGGCATCCATATTTTTTTAAATTTTTTTTACGGAGTTTTACTATTTTTTATTAATTTTTTTAAAAATAAAATTATTTTTTTAAAAAAAAGTTTTTGAATTTTTTATTTTATAAAAATTTTTTAAATTTTTTAATTATATTTCTACGAATTTTTGAAATTTTTTCGAATTTATTATGAATTAAACATTTAATTATGGCTTTTGACTATTTTTAATTCATATTTAATGGAAGGGTAAGAATGGAATGCAAAAATAGGTATGTTTCCAATAGGACTCATATGGTCCTATTTTGGAATAAAAACATAACAAGTCCTATTTTAGGTTTTTGCCATAGTTTTAGTCCTATTTGAACTAATTTCTATTATTTTAAATAATTATTCTCATTCAAAGATGCAGTTCATCGTCATCAAATCACGCTTCCAGCTTCCATGTACAATGTACATCCATATATACATAATCACTCGAATTTAATACTCGTATATATATTTAAATTAATCAAGCTTTCATTAATGTACTAAAACTTATACTACGTATTTAATTAAGTATCTCACACCGGAAATTTGTGAAAGAATTACGTGCTACATAGCCAGTATATTAAAATCTGAACTTCTTCTTTTATCAAGTTAATTTTTTAGAATAAAATCTCAAATCTAACATTCATGTATAGACAGAACGACCAGAAAAAGAACTTACTCGTTAAAGGGCTTCCGCCGAAAGAGAGTCGCCTCGAAATAGCTAGATTACAATTGGCCTGGCATGGATGAAAATTCGTTCAAGTTGTCATTATATATATATATATATATATATATATATATATATATATATATATATATATATATATATATATATATATATATATATATATATATATATATATATATGTATATGTATATATATGTATATGGCGGTGTAGTAGATTACTTAGGCGTGGAGAGATGGAGGCTTACCAAGTAGGGAATTGTTCATGCATATGTGTGTGCCTTCGGCTGAAAGAAATCATGCTCTGAGGGTTTTCTACGGATTGGGATTTGGGAATATATATATATATATATATATATATATATATATATATATATATATACTTGTGGTTTCCTAATTTCAGTCTTACACAAACACTTTATAATTGTGTTCATCTTACCGGATTATCAAATTAAGAGCCACTTTAATTTCCACCACTAGTAGCATTAATAAATGCAACGAAACATTTACATTGTTCAAATTGACATTTCACATAATAAAATTTCATCTAAAGTAATGGAATATTGAGAAAAATTAAATTGAAGAATATATATACATTCAATTTACAAACACAATACTTAAAATTTTCACTCCTAAATTAACATGAAAAAATATGTTCTAATAACTAATTATCTATAAGTTAATTTACACTTTTAGCAGCATACATATATTATAATAAAACTTTATGTAGTAGTACATATTAATGGTGTTCAATAATTAGTTTCAGCAGATACTGTACTTCAATTTAAGATAAATATAAAATGTTGAACCTTAGCTTTTTACGTCTTGAGAGTTGAGACACATGCATGATGTGTATAAAAATATGAAAATCAATTAGATAAAATTTAATAAATATCAAAATAGTAAACTAAATGCATACATCTAATGCAACTTTCAATTAAAACCAACAAATAGTCGACATCAAGTCAATGAAAAAATAATTTTACTACAATTCAACTAATTCTGAAAATTGACATATTATGGTTGAGATAATAAATTCTAATTTACTTAATAAAAATTACTAGATGGAGTATGAAAGTGGGTGAAATTTTATTTAAGGGTGGTAATAAACATATACTCCGGCGACTCTCTTTCTATGGAGTTAAAGGGCTTCCGTCGAAAGAGAGTATACCAGATTCAAGCCCACTATGAGATCGACTACACATGAGTCGACTTGGATTTCGATGCTTCAGGCCATCAAAATTTTAATGGAAGCCAAACTTTTCTTAGGGCTTATGTAAAATAAATTTCTTAACAAATAAACACAATTTGTGAAATAATAAAAGTGGAGAATAATGGCTTACCTTTGTAGTAGCCCTAGTGGTGTATTTATATTAATCAAGAGATAAACTAATTACATATTGGTCCTAAATAATAATAATAATAATACGTTATTACACCTCCTCAATCTGTACAGGGAAAATCACGTGCATATTGGTAAAAATATTTACAAACTGGTACTGAGTGAGTATATTTGACTGAGAGATCGCCAAATTTAATTAAATGAAGAGTACAATTAAGTCTCTAATAAAATATTAAAACTAACCCAAATTTCTAACGAAACTGGGAGGAGATCATACGGCAACAAGAATGGCTTAACGTTGTTTTACATTTCCGTTAAAACATAAGCTACAATTGAGGTCAGATGTACAAGAAAGTAAACATGATGTACACTCGCTTTATAAATCAAGAGACACCAACACTTTTTTTATGACTATTATACCCCTGACAATATTCACTATTATAATGTTGTGTAAAAGATTTGCATGTCATTTTAATTTGTCATGGTTCTGCATTTATTACATCTTTTGGAGTAAAAAGAGGTACATGTGAAGATTCACACAGAGACATTGGAGAATGTCTAACATCAAAAAGTTGGGAATATAAAAGAAACCAACCAACAGATGTCACAAAAAACACTGAATATAAATTACTTATTGGCTGCCACCTTCTTAGAAAGAACTGTTTTTGTCTTTTTTTAGAGAGCAGGAAAAAGCTATAAGAAATAATATAGGAGTAGATGATACAAATCCAAAATCCACTCACAGAACTGACAGAAGGGAAGACATGCATCAGGCAAAATTGATTCATAACTTCGGATTAAAATACTAGAAAAAACAAATTGGAAATAGGTGGACAATGTTCTTTTCATATTGTTCACTCATCATCGTTGTCATCAGCATTTCCTGCAGCTGCATTTAAGGCGTTGAGCCTCTCTACCAACTTGGTCTTCCTCTCCTCATTAGTTAGTTTCTTTAGGTTGAACCTCTTGTGCTCCTAGGAGGCTGCTTCTCGGTCTTCTTTGGGCAAGGATCAGCACGTATAGCAGCATGTACCTTTTTGTAAATCTCCTCAATGTTGTCTGGCTCAATACCCTTTTTGATATATTCACTGAAGTGAGATTGGTACTTCTCTGGTTCATCTTCCATAAAACTGTTCATGTATGCCACAACATGACCTCCATAGATGTACTTGCGGTGAGTGTCAGCATCAAGTTGCTTTGAATCTTTACTGAATCCAACAAATCTCTTGTCACTGTGAGGAATGTCAAGTCCCCCATCCAAAGCACCCGTCAGAGCACCAAAGACACGATTCCCAGTGGTTGTTCGGATTAGACCAACATCCAAGAGAGCACAGAAAGGCCTGCTTTCAGCAGGTTCCACAGAGTAGTCCTCCCCAGTAGCCTCAACATTTCCTTCAAAATCTTCATCCATCTCAAGTTTCTTGAGGACTCAGCGAGCCAACAGAAGCCCAGTGCAGTACGCTGCAGCATAATTTGTTAGGCCAACAACTTCAAGGCCAAACTGAGTAAGTTCACGAGCATACGCTGATGCAAGAATCATGTCCCCCAGCTATACTGGCTGATACAATCTGAGCAATAATGTCCTTGTTGGTAAATCGGACAGTAAATCAGTATTTTGGTGTGTTGTATTTATTCTTATCCTGATTGATCAGTCTAGTTCTAGCTCGATAGTCAGTCTTTCCCTCTCTCCTTCTTTTGAAGTAAGCACGGGTCTTTTGGACTTTGATGAAGGCCATTGCTCCGAGCGATGTTGGATGAAACTGTTTTGTCTTTCAAGGTAATGCTGATGGCATTCACTAACAATCTTGTCCTAGATTCTGGTGTCATCCCCTTCGACGTCATCTCAGTGAAATAACGCAATGCATCCTCTAGCCTTCCTTTCTCATACAACCCGTGAATCATGATTGTATATGACCGTTGATCTGGCCCTGCCCCAGCTCTTTCCATTTCGTCCCACATTTTTTTCACACTCCCATAACAACCCCAACTCATATACACCCTCAACACCAAATTATAAGTGTCCCCAATCATCCCACACCCCTGCTTCTCCATTCGTTCCAGGACCTGAGTTACTTCCTCTTGGTTCTTGGCAGAGTTAATTAAGTAGCTGTATGTTCTAGCGTTTGGTGAACAATCGCCTCCGTTTTGTTCCATCTCCCCCAAAAGCTCATACGCTTTCTCTGTCCTACCGATTTTACACATATATTTGATCAGGGAATTATAAGTGGCAGAATCTGGCAGACAATCTCTATCATTCATCTCTCTGAAAATCGCTAGTGCCTCGGGAATCCTCTTCTTGAAACACAAACCGTCAATGATGGAATTGCAGATAGCCACGTCCGGATTGCACCCTTTTTCCCACATTGTTTGGAACAGCTTCACTGCCGTGGTTATTTTTCCAGACTTGCACAGTGAATTGATGAATATTCCATATGTGAACTTGTCTGGTTTGCAGTTAGAAGTCACTATATCGTTCCAAAACCGCTTCGTCTCGCGCAAGCTACCCAGAACACACCAACCATTCAGGATTATGTTGCGTGTTTTTATCTCGTCCCTGAACTCCTTTTTCTTGTTATGGTACAAGAATTCGGCGGCTGCCACATGTTTGAACCTGCACAAAGACATCAAAAGGATTTGGAAAGCAATCAAATCTATCTCTAGCCCAAAGTTTTTCCTCTTGTAGAGAAAACCTATAGCTTCATCAACTTTGTGGGCCGCAGCATATCTATTAACTACAATCCCGTATGTTCTTTCAGTGAACACGCTTCCTCTTTCAGTCATTACGTTGAGCACCTGGTTCAGCTCGTCAAAACGTCTCATTTTCCCAAGGATGTCGATAACTTGGTTGTAAACAGCACTCCCAGGCGAGTATCCCTTGCGATTATTTCCACCTTCCAACACCCAACTGAAGAATGCGTATGCCGGTTTCCAATCAGAGCAGTTCCGTTTAATCACATCAAGAACCAACTCATCTGTTAAGGAGAACACGCTCTCGCTGAGGGAGATGTGTAACCCGGTGATAGATTTGTCACCGTGACGTTTGAGAATGGTCTGAATTTCTTGAGCGGTGGCACTTGAACTGGACTTCAAGACTGGAGTGCAGTCAGTGAGGGCGGATTCAAATTGGTTCGCGGGGGAATCATCTATGCTCAGGTCGGGCAAGCTAAGGTAGTGTGAATTGAGGATTGACAGAGGTGGGAGCTTTAGTTTTGACTTGAACCAACGGTGGATTCCCAAGGAAAATGCTTCCGCCAACATGCTGAGTCTGTGACACAAAGACGTCAAATAGCAATTTGAGATGAGGCTTTCCCTCATAAAATAAACTAGTGCCCTTGTTTTGCACAGGGATATTGTTCCATTCATTGATCATATATTATATGAAAAGTAACTTTAAATAATACTCCGTACCAACTATCACCCTTAAACCAATAATAATGAATACTTTGGAAATGATTTCTAATAATACCAACTATTTGAATATATAACAAAAATAATATGGAGTCACTTTTCAATAACAAATCCAATCATTTAATACATCAAAACATGGTATCAAACCTTCAAAGAAATGATATTTGAAAATAAGGTTAGTTATTTGATATTCTAGTATCAGTTTTTGATGAATTAAATGGCTGAATTTTTATTGAAAAATTGCTCCGTATCACTTTTGTTACATATTCAAATAATTGGTATTATTCAAACTTAAAAGTTACTTTCAAAGTACATATTACTTTTGGTTCATCAAAGATAATTTGTATTATTTAAAAAAAAATTGCTATATTAATATTTCCGGGAATAATTAAAAACTCCGAGGATGGGTGTCATCCTATATTTAGGGGCAAAATATATTCCTCAACTATCATAGGGCAAAAATATATATCACTCTTTTCTTGGGTTCAAAGTAGCGCTCAAACTATTTTTTTTAGAAACATGCAAAGTGTACCTTTACCCTATCCATCTTAACATACTTTTCAAAC